CTTGGCCCAGGTAAGACCACTAGTAAATGTCAAAGCCAGCGCCAAGTCTGATCGCCGTGCTCAGGGTATGCGTGGTGCCAAGAGCCAGCATCTGTTTGGGTTTTCACCCCTTTTTTGTCTTCTCCTTTCCTTCCAGATCGTTCTAGATGTTGGTTGTGGATCGGGCATACTGTCGTTTTTTGCTGTACAGGCTGGAGCTAAGAGAGTCTATGCAGTGGAAGCCAGTTCAGTAGCACAATATGCTGAGGTAAGCGGTATTTTTACAATAGCTACTGACTAGGTCTTCAGTAAGCTTCGGGAGACTTAGTGACGGACTCTTCCAGGCAGGTGGTTTAGAAAACAAGTTTATCAGTTTGATTTATTTTTCCTATTGGGATGTTACTGATGAAGGAGCCTCACTTCACTGTAGTGATTGATATGAAAAGAATTATTTAAAAGTCACAATGTGGAAAATATAACACAACTTTCTTCCTCCCCATCTACTTGGTTGTAGGTGGGCCCAGGGGAGATTTAAAAAAATGATTTTTTTAAATCTTTAATGATCTACTAAAAGTGAGGGTCAGACCTCCCTGGAGCTAGGTTTATTATTTTTTTTTCTTAAGTGCCATCCTGACAATAACTGCACCACTCACTTTAAATTTTACTTTTGGTTTAAGGGGCTGTTGCTACATGGTTGAGCACAGACAGGGGTCTGTGTTTCAAGAAGCTTTTTCGGATTTCAGGTTCTGATTGGAGAATAGGGAGATGTTTTGCTTTAAATATAGTGCTCTGTTATCATTATGAAATGCGTACTAATATTAGAGAATTAGTCAAAGTCAGGAGTCGGGCAACAATGGCTTTCAGTGATATCAGATAGAATCACCCAACCAAGCTGCAGAGATTGGATGTGTGTGCGTGTACACGTGTGAACAGGGTGATGTGCTTGTCGCACATACCTGGAGGAGGCCTGTGTTTTAATGAGGGATAGCAACACGAAAAGAGCCAGGAAAGCGTGGCTGCTGCTTTGGATAAACATCTGAAACTGTCCTCCAACCCTGGACCACTGGTAGCTCTGAGTGATGGTTGGTTTTGGATCGAGTGAGTGAAGAGGGACCGAGACAAATAGTCCAGTAGGCATGCTTGGAAGCAAACACCTCCAGGCCTCATGCCTGGCATGCCACTGCACTCTTGTTTTCTTCTTCCAACAAGTCTTGGATAACAATTTTTGGTCATTTGCTTCTTCAACATTTCTTAAAAGTCATCATTAATGGTTATTAAGTGCTGGGTGCACACAAAAGAGTATTTGTTAAATGTGTACAGTGTAAAGAATAACAATACAATGAATGTGTGCCCACTACCTCTTTTTAGAAATCGGCTATTTGTGTTTCCATTCAAGGTCCCTGCGTTTTTTTCCTTATCATTTCTCCTTTCTGCCCTTAACAGAGGTAATCACTATCTTGAATTTGTGTTTGTCATTCTCTTATTGTTCTTTATATTTTTGCCACATATGTTTCTATCCCTAAAAACAAATCCTTATGAACTGTCCAAAAATGGAATCATAATCTATGTGTTCTCCTGCAGTTTGCTTTTTTGAAAACCAATATCATGTTCCTGAGGGTCATTTTGTTGATGCATACAGCTGTTCTTTTATTCATTTACCCTACCTTCAATGATGGATAGGGTTATAATGTATGAAATGCCTCAAGTTATTAGTCCACTTCAGATGACTTCCATTATAAAAGTGTTGTTATGAATATGCTTGACATAGTTCTCACTGCATCCTAGCTAGAGTTTCTCAGTATATACCCAGCAGTAGCGTTGTTGGGTCATAGGGCATGCATACCTTCAACTCTGCCCTGTAACGCCAAATTGTTTTCCAAAGTGGTTGTACCAGTTTCTCCCCCATCTAGAAGTAAATGAGAATGCCATTGTTCTACAGCTTTGTCAGCACTTGATATTGTCAGGACTTGGAATTTTTGCCAATCTGGTGTTTATGACATGATATTTTGTGGATTTGATTTGTATTTCCCCATACTAATGACTTGGAGCATCTTTGCAAAGTGTTTTGGCCACTTCTGTTTTCTTTTCTGTGGAACACCAGTTCAAGTTTTTCACAATTTTTCTTTTGAATTGTTTTTGTAATTTGAATTCATTTGGAGAAATGATTTCTATATCTGGATATTAATTCTATTCAGTTATTTCTGTGGGAAATATCTTCTTCCAGTTTGTACCTCACCTTTTTCTTTATGTCCTAGTAAACTTTAAATATGGCATTCTAAATTAAGAGAGAGAGGGAGGGCGGTCGGGAAGGAGAGAGGGAGAGGGAGAGAGAGAAGAATATAAATTTACAGAGAATCCCACAGATAACAATGCTAATGCTTAGATTTTAATAGATCTTGAAATGCATTCTTAAGGGTGAGAAGATGCAGGTAGACCTTTGTCTCAGGGGCTGCTCATTTATTAATCTTATCTACATTCAGCTGCATCCACGATTCTGTTTGTTGGGGAATATAAGAGAAACAGTGATGATTAAAGTCTATTCCTATATTCAAAGAGCTTTTATTCTAATAAGAGATTGATCCTGTTGTCTCTTGTATCAGACACACCTATACTCACCCCCCAAAAAAAGTGGCATAAATAAATTAGAGATTTTTCTTTTCTCACATAGTTTGTTTTCGCATATTTTAAGGTAGCTTGAGACACATTAAATAGTTATTTGTAAAACCTTAAACATCTAATAAGCTTGTTTGTAAAATTTTTCTAGGGACGAGAGGAAGAAATTAGCTAGAATGTTCTTGCATTCCCTAGCCATAATCATGTCTCCATCCCCAGCCAAAACTCTCAGTAATCACCAGCATACCATGGGAGGAACCATTCTAGAACTGTCTATGTGATTGGTTTCTCCAAGAGAATTCTTATCCTGATTGAACACAGCAGCAGGATGGTCGCCTTCTTACAGAGCAGGGCTACCGTCACAGACACTTTTACCCAGAACGTTGCTGCTGTGTCATTATACAGGCCTCCAGCAAGAAGCCAACATAGAGAAGAAGAAAAGGGAATGAACTTAACATTTAAAACTTTTTTTTTAAATTAAATTAATTGGGGTGGCAATGGTTAGTAAAATTATATAGGTTTCAAGTGCACACTTCTGTAATACATCATCTATATATCACACTGTGTGTTCACCACCCAGAGTGAGTTCTTCTTCCGTCACCCCCATTTACCTCTTCTGTCCCCCTCCCCCATAACCCTCTAGTAATCACTAAACTGTTGCCTGTATCTGTGAATTTTTGTTTCTTTGTTTTTCTTGTTCCTTTGTTGCTTTTAGTTTTCTATTCCACATATGAGTGAAGTCATATGGTTCTTGACTTTTTCTGTCTCAATGGAATACTACTTGGCCATAAGAAAAGATGAAATACTGCCACTTGCGACAACATGGATGGATCTTGAGATTATTATGCTAAGCGAAATAAGTCAGACATTTAAAACTTTTAAAAGTATTTATAACTTCTTTAACTATTTAAAACTTGGAAATAATTTCAAATTCACAGCTAAGTTGTAAAAATAAAAATAGTTCAGTCTACCCAAATTTTCTTTACCCAGATTCACCTGTTATTCACATATTACTTCCATTTGCTTTTGTCATTTACTTTTACTCCTCTCTCACCTCCCCAACATACACACACACACTAATATGTATACACACATGTATATGTGGATATTTCCATATTTGTAAATAGAGATATACACACACTTTTTTCTGTGAGTCGGTTATCTACATCAGAGCCCTTTATTCTTAAACATTTCAATGTATATTTCCTAAGAATGAGACTATTCTCTTATATAACCAAAGAAGAACCTATTTTAAGGTGAAAAAGAAGCTGTACAATGATATGTCCATTAGTCTTTTGATGTTACCGATCAAAAGGTTTTGGGAGACCCCAGCATGGACTGAGAGACTGTCACCATGGGTATTGAGGTGAGAAGAGTCTATACTTAACTGCCTCTTTTCTCATGTAGTATTTCCAGAGGGACTTGATTTTTGAAATTTTAAAACCAACGTTCTAATGAATTCTAAAGCACCATAGTGCTCTTTTATCTTTGGTTTTAGCTTCTGTAGAGGATGTGTTGTTGCTGTAATCTTTCTTTTCTGTGTGCAGCTGGGGCAGGTTGAGGTCAGGGGTAGCTTTCCAAATGCTGTGGGAACTTCATGAGTCCTTGAAATTCTTTCTGGCAAGACGCTTGTGCCTTGGAGGACTTCCCTGGATGTAGCCCTAAGGGCAGGCTAGTTAAAAATGTATTCAGGACCAATGATGATTAGAATCTTCTCAAAGCCTGAATTTAACGACAGCCTGGTCCCTCTTGATGAAAACTCTGGCCTCTGTCATGTCCCTGGCTTCTGCTGTGGGTGTTGAGATATTCCCCGTGGGCTAAGGCCCTTTCACCCTGGCACAGGACAATCTGTGCCAGCTCTTGGTTTTTGCTTCTGACAGTGATACTCTTCTGTACTATTTGTGGGTGGCAAAATACGAGTGTGAACAGCACACAAAAGATATTCACTCTGAGAATAGGCTTTTATAGCAGCTCAGCATATAGTGCATGGTGCTCCTTTCGACCTTTTCATTATTTGGTAATTGAACCAGCAGACATTTAATTCTTTCCTCTGGAGTCTTCATTAAATTGCTCGGCAAAGATAAAATTGCAACAAGAAAGAAAAATGTACAAATTTAACTACCATCGCCTGTCCCTGGATTCTGTTTCTCATGCCAGGCTTCTAGGCTCTAAGTAAACAGAATAGTTTCAAATTGCATCAAATTCAATTTCAGTTGCATTCAGTGGCTCAGCCTGATTTTGTAAGGGCCGACCCTCAGATGGCAAGCTGATGTGAATGATTCCTTGTCTGGAGGGCACGCACGTTCAGTCATTTTTTTTTTGCAAGGTGGTGGTGAACAACTTACCAGGTGCAGCCATGTGCTCTCACCCAGGGCTCCATATGACATTTCGGATTTCAAGGAACAAGACAGAAATAAAGGCCTTCCAGGAGTTCCAAAACTGTGAGCCTGCCCGCGTCAAAATGGCAGCTATCTCTTGCTCTTTTTTCCTTTCTTATTTATGAAAGGACCAAATGGAAAAGAAAAAGGCATTAATTGATCGAATTTATACACATATAAAGTCAAGGAGGGGGTATTCTTTAATTTAAAATTGCACACAAATACATGTCATGTCTCTTCATCTAGATGATAAACTGAGGAGCCAGGAGAATGAAAG